TTCCGAATAAATTATCCAGATCGGAAAATTATACCATATAGCTGCGCTAGAAACTGACCGTTCAAAATTAAGTTCTTGTTCTTGCTAAGGAACCGAAATTTTCGTTTTTTCGCGTTTTTTTTTTTTAATTTTAAATTAATTTTAAATGTTGTGCGCCTTAATGTGTATTTTAAGCTTCCTTAGAACGGCAGAGGAATCCCTARATTCGTATTTCGATTCCGAAAGAAGATCGCTCAGTAAGGTAGTAAGGTAATCTGGACCGTTTTTTTTTTTTTTACTTTTTTCATAGAAATTTTTATTCTACAATAGAACTTTTTTSCCATATCATGAGGTATATCTTGGAGTGTATAAACAAATTTTTTCGAAAAATTCCATCTGTCGTGGAAATTGCTTCGTGAATGAGACGCGTTTTTTCACTGRCGGACACGATTTCTCATAATTGGATCATCTGGATACCCGATTTATTCTTAAAAAGTACGTGAATGGTTATCGTTCCTACTTGAATCATGAAAAAATAAAAAAGTAATTAACTTTTTTTTTTTTTTTTTGTTTTAAAATTTTTCCCATGTTTTTTTACATAAATTTTGTCATAACATTGTCAATAAATTATAAAAAACGTAGAAACGATGGTCAGGCGTTTTGTGAACATTAAAAAAAAATCAAGCAAATGTTTGAGTAGTTCGACCGAAATCATGTCCGCTAGTTTAAAAATTTTTGTTTTGCGAAAAACGCGCAAAATAGAAGTTSTAGCTGATAAAATTTTGTAATTAAGATTTGCCATTTTATCATGTCACGTCTCGCTTTGGTATAAGCCTTCGGATTATTGGTCAAATTCGCAGGTGAATCCCGCATACCTTTTTTCTTACGAAATGAGGAAGGAAATGTCATTTTCATCATTAGTAGGCGTTATGTAACGAGGTTAGCCGACTTCTTTTCCACAGAAATACCTTAAAACGATATCTACTTCGAAAACGACGGTACTCGGTTTCATGTTTCACGTCTAACCATGGTCCCATTGCTTGCGAAGTTTGTCGAGTCGTTAATTTCGAGAAATGTCCCAGCCTTTTATTACAAAAAAGAAAGTACTAATTTTGCTGAATATGCTCCTCTCAAGCGTGCTATGCGTGAGTTTAACTCGATTTCCGAAAAAGTTCTTCTTGATTTTTCGCACTCTAGGGTATCTTTCAATAATACCCTCAATACCCTGTTTTTTAATTTRAGTTATCTATCTATGTAATTGTAATTAAGTTTTTTTAGAGTTCTAATTTGCATCCTAGTCTGTAAGAATTAATGTTCATAGACTTAAATAAATAAATAAATAAATAAATAAATAAATAAATGGTTATCAAGAACATGCGATTTAACACCTCTACATTATTTTCTCTTGGGATATGTTAAATCAAAAGTTTACGCCAATCAAACAGCAACGTTCGAGGAGCTCAAAGGCAACATTCAGCGCACCATAGCCGAAATTCTTGCCGAAATGCTGCATGGATTCATCAAAAATTACGTAAACGGGTGGAGATATTCCGACGGTGCCAATTTGATCATTGAGCATTATGGCCCATTTAGTTTGAGAACGCTTTTTCTTCGCTGTTCTCATGTGAATCTCTAACATTCGCCTTTCTATTTTTAAGGGGGACTTTGGAAGATCTATGTAATACTAAAATCTGTACAGTGAAAGTTTTCCAACTGCAGCAGATAATTGCTATCCACCCTTATCTATGAATTTAACAATATTTCTAATTGATTTCTACCATAAAACCATTTCAATAAATATTTCTTAAAAATATATTATTAATATCACAATGTGTCTTTGAATACTTTCCAATCGTTTTATGGAACGGACTTCGGACTGAATATCAACACAATCAATTTAACGTCAATGAAGGGAAATAAGAATTGTTTTTACTTTAAACCGTATACAGAATGTGTGTACGCGTTATTAACTCGCCTTTACTTTAGCTACATCCGCATGCGTCCACATAAAAACGTCCCACCCTAGTATTTACAATTCCGTGTTTTTTTGTGTAAACTTCACAAAAATATGAGCAGAACCCTAAAACAAAGACAAACATTTGCAAAAGCATTATCTGCGCACACGTCTCTGTACATATATATTTATATTTGTATGCATGTAACAAGCGTGTTCAACTGCCAAATATTTGCGTACTCGAGGAAAGGCGTCGGGTAGATTCTGCTTAAAAATAAAGTCCTTTAGGCAGAAAAAATTGCGAACGCGAAACAGTTGAATTACTCCTCATTACACACATACAAATGCAAAACGATGACAGCGACAACAATGATAGCACGACTGATAAGGATAATTTGATCGCTGCGGCAGCACGAAATGATAAWGACAATAATGAGGTACGCTCGTATTGCCGCTGCTCTGTTATTTTTGTCTATTTAAATATAAATTTAACAAGCGTAAATRATAATCATTAGAAATTGCTTTCAAGTTATCAACACATTTGGACACAAATCTTTGTAGCAGGTTAAGCGTAGGAGCAGTTAGCATGTGCCACTTCCGGCGGACGTTTTTAGCACTTCAAAGTAAACAGCAACAAGTACTTCATATAAGTAATACCTCACTTTTTATATATTTATAATAAAGATTTAATCTTTAATAAAAAGAACGTATGCTTTGATTTCATATTTAATAGGAAGTTCCATAATGGGAACAAGCTGTAATGATTTCTATAATTTCCCAGTTGGTACGAGAGTTTCGTTTTATATTTCGGCAGTGTTTTTAAAAAATTCTCCATTGAAATCTGTTCACTTTCGTATGCTTTTGAAGCAATTGCCAGATGCTGGAAAGAGTTATAGTGAAACGGCTTCAGGAGCTATCTCGAGGTATGCGGTATAAGTTAGAGCGGTCAAGAGGGCAATTCTTAGATATTGTAAATACTTTTTCCATCAGTATGTTCACCCTCACAACTAAAYCCCAAGTATTTACAATATCTAAGAATTGCTGCTTATGGGAAGATTGTCGCCGCATCGTCCACCGATTGTCTGGATAAAATAGTTCAGCATCAAGGATGTGATGTATGTGAAGCAACGACAGCAGGCAACCGCAGGCAAACTACGATGCATTTTGAAAGAATGGGGTCTCGGACGTCGTGCTGTTTGMACAATATATCGTGGCTTTTTTGTGGCCWGTGCTGCTTATGGAGCCACTGTATGGTGRAAAGCAACCACGASAGTTTTGGGRTGCCAAAAACTTCYCTCWATACAGCGTTGTATGATGMTTGCYTGTTATCCTGTATACCGCACCGCCTCAACGGATGTTAAGCATTTTATGTTAGGTGCACCCCCTCTTTCTCAAATAGMTTGCTGTTGCATTCAGGTTAAGAAGGGGCTTGAGTGTGTCATTGCCAGTAGTCCTGACTTTCGAGTGACTTATGAGTATATCCGGGAGGTTGGGTTTTTTGAGGGTAACCCAGACTTCAGATTTTGACTGAGTCTGGAATTTCTGCTTATGGGTACCTCGTATGATGCATTTTCGCATCAAAGGCACCTATTTGATAGGTCGGGTTGTTTTTGCTGGGCGGGGGTAAAGAACTGAGTGCATGTAAGTGCAGAATGCACTATGTACTCRCAAATTAGGGATCTGGGTGGTATGATAATTAGCTGGACTGATGGACGTTWAGATATTAACGGTATGATAACTACTAGTCAAAATGCCGAACGGTTTGTGTCGTTTGCAAGTGAATTGTTTAAGCGGCGAAGATGTTAGCTGGGAATTAGGGTTAGGTTCTTGTGTGTATGTGTGTGCGTGTAATATGCATGTAGGGTTCAACATCTCTTCAACAGTCCAGAGCAGTATGGAAGTTCAACTGGTGGCTCAACTGGTCGGCTACGAGGTCTGACCGAAGGCTTAATTCTGGTACTACGGAGAGCAGGGGCCCTTAGAGTTCCATCCAACCTGCTCGAGTGGTCTGCCCCTTCGAGGAGTATCATAGTAGTTGTGGTTAAAASCCGAATGCGGGAAGAACTGACAGTTTTCAGTGGATACTGGACCAAAAATACRGCAAAGGTTTCAGATGGGTTTCGAACCCTACAAAGGTGATTAGTCTGTCCATTCAAAACTGCCAATTGGTACTGTAAATGTTTGACAATTTCAGGGCGTTAATCAACGCACTGTTTTGGGCAAAACTATTTTGTAACTTTTTTCGTGGCTATTCGCGAGCTTTAATCAAGCTTGGAATTCAGTTTCATCGCTTTTCTCTTCACAAAATGATGAAAGTGAACAGCGGAATCTATCACATAGAAAAAGTGGATCACATACCAATATTTTTACACGCGCTTTCCAATCCACTTCATATACCTGAACCTTATGTTAAAGTAACTCTCCTTCTAAATTGTAAAACTACAGATTTTCTAATTCTTTACTCTGTCTAATTCGTATGAACAAATTTCGTTGAATAAGAGTGATTAATGGGCTGACCGGCTGRAGAAAAATTGCAAAACCCTCAATTATTTTGTTTTCCAAATTTACGCCTACATAAATCACTTAAGMGTGCAATGAAACTCAGCAAAAACCTCATAAGCTATTCATAGCAGTCACTGTCCCTGCCCGCACCTAAATTATGGGTACGAAGAAGGTACAGCAGCAAGGCTAGTAGCGCCCATTTCTAAAMTTCACAGTAACATTGTTTTTATATTTCTAGAAAAATATGTATATACTTTGACTATGCCTAAATGTTGCGTTGGTAAAATTGCACTTGGTTCGGGTTTTAACAGCCAACAAATCGCTGTCCCCACATTACATAAATGTACGTGGWATGTATAACGAGTCGTGCAACCTGTGCTTTCACTTTTATTTTTACCTACGCTTTAAGCTCCCATCAATATCTAAGCACACACATAACTGCCTACATACATACTGGCTATAACATTTATTATGGTCCGCTGTCGGTGAGGTTTGAGCTTGAAGCATCTGTCAATAATGTGGCAGAAATTACGGTAGAATTTGATGGGTTAACCTGTGTACTCACCTTTTACCGAGTACGTCTTGTAATCAGCAAACTGCTCTCCTTGACCTATGGCTGATGGTATTGTGGACAAGCACGTCAGCTCCATGCGTCCATTATTGTTATGCGCCTCCTCCAAGTCTATATTGAGTTGGCTAAGCGAGAACATGCCACGCTCTTTAGTCGCTGCCGCAACGGCAGCAGCTGCTGCTGCCACACCCATGCCACCGCCGGCATGCGAAATGGGACGTCCATAGCCGGCGGCTAGTTGACTCATCGGTCCTGCATTCGCTGGTATGCCGAGCTCGTTGTTGAGGTTAGGCGGCTGTGGGCCAAAACCGCCGCTATTCAGTGTGCTGCGTATTATGCCGAGAGCATTCTCGTTGATGTGCCGTCGATATTTCTGTTTTGATGAGTTTCTGTGAAAAGTGCAAGCAAATAATGCAAAATGAATTTGAAATCTAGTTATAACGGTACCATAGTTGCAGTGCAAATCGCTTAGGGGCGATAAGTTTATTTGTGTGCGTCATAATGTTYGAGTGTTAAAGTGTTTTTAAATGGATTCTAGATAGGTCAAGCGATTAAAGTTTAATATTCAAAAATTTGCTGTATTTGTTTAAAGTTTTATTGTTATATAAAAGTATATACAGAAACAATAGGAGATTCTTTTGAATGTGACGGCATATTCATTAAAGTTATAAATTTAAGGTCCAACGAAGTGGGAAACAAATGAAATGAGTACTGAAAACGATGAACGCAGCGGACGTCCAAAAGAGGTTGTTATCGACGAAAATATCAAAAAAGTCCACAAAATAAATAGGAGTGTCCATAAAGTGAAGTTGTTGTTGGAGATATCAGCCACTCTCACGACTATTTGGGTATTAGAAAGCTGTGTGCATAGTGGGTGCCGCGCGAGCTTACTTTTGACTAAAACGACGAGCTGATAATTCGGAGCAGTGATCACAGATCTTCAAGCGTAATAAACACAAATTTTTGCCTCACTATATGATAATAGATGAAACATTGGTCCATATTTTCACTCCGACGTTCTTTCGAACACGATGAGCCCGCTCCAAAGCGTGGAAAAACCCAATATTCAGCTGGCAAGGATATGGCGTATTTTTTCATTTTTCATATTTTATTAAGTAATGGACTCACGGACACCTAACCTGTTTTATATATCGTAGTTTTGTTATGATTGAGGCTGGCGCTTCGCTGACAATTTTCCAGTTCCGTTGAACTATCACAGAGTGTAGTTTTAAGTCTTTCCCTTGTACTTGAAAAGCGATGCCAATTAAAAAATGCATGCTCAGAGTATTCAAAACACTCTGAATACATCGGACAATTCGGACTAATGTCGTGCTGGAATCTGCATAGGTAGCTTCTAAAGCACCCACTCCACTTAGTATTTGGCTTAGGTGGAAATTCAGCTCCCCACGCCGAAATTTCTAATAATACAAAAATAAAATCAATATTTTCACGCGTTTAAAGCTTCAAGTTTCGCAGGTTTCTACTAAACCGAAGACATTAGTAATTYAACACCTCCATATTTTAAAGCTCGTTGCTTTCTTAACTGCTGCAAACTCAACCAAATATTCAACACCTTTAACGAACGCTTACATACGCGCGCCAGATACACAACTCAACGCCCATTTCCGTGCTTCCTTCTTATCACTGCCATCCGCCGCGCAACTAACGGTAATCAGTTATAATATCGCGAAGCACATAAATTTTTATTGCATTATTGCGCAGCCAAGTTGGCAGTGGCGGTAATTTCATCGTCATTCTGCATTCGTAATGACTCAACACTTCGACATTTTTGTGTGCGGCAATATGTAGACAGCACTCCAACCGCACTCACCCAGCCGCCCCCCGCCAACTCCTAAGTGGCTACATTACGATGAGCTTGGCGTGCTTCCGGCGTAATTACGAGCGTGAATTGAAAAGAAGCAGCGCTCCTCACACGTACACAAATACACACACACACACACACATACGTACACACATGGTGGCAAAATTATCGATGCAACAAATGTCACCGCCGACGACACGGCGTCGCCAACCGCCCTGTTATCCAYACGGCGTATTGCGGGCGCAACGAAACGAAGTATTTTGCCCGGGGCTTGAAGTCCAACCGAAGCGGTTGTGGTGCTGGTGGCGCGGTGACGCGGTGGATTGGTGGAGTTGGGTGATACATATTTCGTATGCAATTCATGCTTGTGTGGCAAGTGTGGCACATTCGCTCGCTGCCAGTCATGTACTCCACATAGAAATATTAAATTTGCTCCAATATTTTATATGAACTTGTACGGACGTGTACTTGTTTGTTATTGTGTGTATTTTCACGTGGCCGTGTATGTGTGTTTGTGGGTGGCACTTCACGTGCGGGTTCTTATACAAACTCGTGTGTATTCATTTATGCAAGCAATAAAWATTTTGCACTCTGCTAAACTAAACAAGTCTTTGACGAAATTGACTGAAGCACACAAATTGACTGCGATAACTTCATTAAAGATATGATTAAGAGGAAGGTAGTGTAAGTTTTTGGTAATATTGAAGAAACTTTACGAGGTATTGAAATCGAAAATAAGCTTTGGAGCCTAAACTCGGATTAAAATTRATCCATACGTATTTTTACTTTAAATTAAAGGCTTTAATGAGATGTTTGGTGAGAACCACTAGTAAAGTCAAGTCAATGCTGGGCTTTCTGGTTCTGAYCAAATTTTGAACGATTAATTTTCAAACTATCGCAAAAACACACATTTTTATTTTCCAGAAACACTAAATAATAATCCAGCAACTCTGTCTGAAGAGCATGAGTAATTATACCATGTTTCGACCGACATTTAATAACTATATTTAGGCCAATCTGCTAGATTTAATCCAATAAAATTTTCCATCACCCTTCCTCTTTTAAGCCTGAAAAARCTTTGAAGTTACTGAACTTCATATTACAAGGTGGGTTCCAAAGTAAACAGGACTTTTTCAATCAAGCGGCCCTGGTGCCACCATCTATATGTCGACCGGTGCGTTAAAATCTACTATCTTTATCACCCCAATGGTTTCAACGTTTTCAAAATGGTCGAACATAAATGACGATCAACATGTGGGCCAACCGAAATCCGTGATCACCGGAAATTCCATCGAAACTGTGCGTGAGTTCATCAAAAAACCAGACGAAATCATCATTGAAATTTACGGAAATGGAATTGAACATCTCCAAAACATCGATTTATCGCATTTTGAYCACACATTTGGGCTTACGAAAGGTGTGCGCACGGTTTGTTCCGCAACAAAAATTGCTTTCATCGGTCGACTCGTGCGACCGATTATTTGACCAAAAATCAACCATTTTACCCATTAACCACTCCTCGTATTCACCTTTTATGGCACCGTGCGAATTCTTCCTTTTCGGAAAAATGMATTTGTCCATGAAAAAAGCGTTATGCAGACGTAGAGGCCATTCAAAAGGCTTGAACTGGCATACTGGCGGCCATAACGGCCAACGAGCTAAAACACTCGGTCGGCATGCTTTTGGATCGTGCAAAAAGCTGTATTGAAGCAGAACGGACGGGATCCCAAAAAAAAAATTCTGAAAAWAATCGCTGTAGGGCGGCCGGGAGGTGCACTAAATATGTACAACGCCTGTCTCGAAGCCGGAATATTCCCTGAATCCTGGAACAAGCAACTGCTGCTGCTAATCAATAAGACTTGTARAACATCAGCTACGATGCTATACTAAAACTCGAAATGTCAAACGAATSGTACTTAATAGGCCACGCGGATGATATTGCAGCAGTAATTACACAGAAGAAGTGAGAAGAAAGCTTAATCATGACCTAATTACGGTCGCAAGCATGGTTCAACTTACACAACCTCCAGCTAGTTAGGGAAAAAACAGAGCCACTACTGCTAACAAATAAGCACATACTCCTGGAAATATGTATGCAAATGACTACGACTTAGGACATTAAGTAAACTACCACGGCGTAAGACTGGACCTTCTGGATACAAATCCAGCACGCCGCAGGCAAAGAGCTTAAACCACATCCCAACTTAGCAGACTAATGCCCTATGTTGGCTATTAGTTTGGCACCAGCCAAAAAAAGTGACCTACAAGTGGCCACATACCGTTGCTTTGACGACAGAACTGATGATGCGGAAGGCAAAATAAAACGGTATCAATTTCCGTCGACCTTTCTGTTTTGATTGTGAAACTGTGGCTGTTGTAGTAAGCTCCATTCCAAAGCAACATTTTTCAAACAAAGGCAATTGACAATTGACAACAGGATGGAGAGAGAGGGAGAGTAATCACATGCTACCAGATCCGAACTATAAGATGGAGGCATAAGAACGTCGCAACCCAGATCTCGTAGCTTCTGGCGAATGCCTATGTACTCGTATGTGGTTTGGCTTTATTTTGATTGAAAACAATTCCACTCCTATTGGCCAAAGATGACCGCTTCTGAGTGTTTGCTTCCTTCAGGTGGTCGATTTGTTGAAGGCACAGGTCCGATTTGGCTTTAGGGGAGCAGTTCCTACTAAACGGCAACGGTATTCTACCAAAARAATTAGTAACTCACACAAATATTCTCTACATTTCTAAAATGAAGCAACCGATATTGAACAAAAAAACTTTCCTATAAAAGGTACAAAACAAACTAATAGACGATCAATCAAATATTCATTAGTTTTGCATTTTCCCCCTACACCCCCTCTCATACCATCCTAAAGAAAAAATGGGCAAACACAATAAAATTTCACACACACACAAGTCGATAAAGAGAAAATCGCGTTTTCAAGGGCCGTCCAGTCGCCCTACACTGCCGGGACGCCCTTCGGCCAGGGCGCGAATTAAATACTTTGTGAAAATGCGATTTCGCTGTTTACTTATGCAGGGACATGTGTAACTGCCGCCCGAACACAAGGCAGCGGGATGGGGCGCTGCATTTGTTTGCTCAGAGGTTTTTGCGGACACACACACACACACACGCGTGCCGCGGCTATCTGCTGAGTGGTTGCTCATTTATGTGTTTTGTATTGTGGAAATGATATTCACACATCAATCATAAAGTACAAATATTTGCGATATTATTATTTATTCGCTCGTTTTTATGGCACTCGACGTTATTGCAGCGCATTGCACTCACACTCGCTCACCGTATATATATAGGTGTGTGTGTGTGCGTATGCGTGAGTCTGTCTACGCTAGCTTTGGTTTCGCAAAATCTAATGCGATCCAAAATGCACGAATGGTGGAATCTTCCGAAATATGGCGCCATGAAATAACTGTTTAAGTGCATCGTAAAAATGTGCGAAAATTTGCCAATACATCCATCGCCGGTTTAAACAGCTAWCGATTTTATTTTATGTAAATACAACAGGCAGCAGAGCAAACACAAGCACTCCGGCGTGGCGC